GATGGGTGTGTGCTGACTACTGCCCACGGGATGGGTGTGTGGCGACTACTGCCCACGGGATGGGTGTGTGGTGACTACTGCCCACGGGATGGATGTGTGGTGACTACTGCCCACGGGATGGATGTGTGGCGACTACTGTCCACGGGATGGGTGTGTGGTGACTACTGCCCACGGGATGGGTGTGTGGCGACTACTGCCCACGGGATGGGTGTGTGGTGACTACTGCCCACGGGATGGATGTGTGGCGACTACTGCCCACGGGATGGGTGTGTGGTGACTACTGCCCACGGGATGGATGTGTGGTGACTACTGCCCACGGGATGGATGTGTGGTGACTACTGTCCACGGGATGGGTGTGTGGTGACTACTGCCCACGGGATGGATGTGTGGCGACTACTGTCCACGGTATGGGTGTGTGGTGACTACTGCCCACGGGATGGATGTGTGGTGACTACTGTTCACGGGATGGGTGTGTGGTGACTACTGCCCACGGGATGGATGTGTGGCGACTACTGTCCACGGGATGGGTGTGTGGTGACTACTGCCCACGGGAAGGGTGTGTGGTGACTACTGCCCACGGGATGGGTGTGTGGTGACTACTGCCCAAGGGATGGGTGTGTGGTGACTACTGCCCACGGGATGGGTGTGTGGTGACTACTGCCCAAGGGATGGGTGTGTGGTGACTACTGTCCACGGGATGGGTGTGGGTGACTACTGCCCAAGGGATGGGTGTGTGGTGACTACTGCCCACGGGATGGGTGTGTGGTGACTACTGCCCAAGGGATGGGTGTGTGGTGACTACTGCCCGCATGATGGGTGTGTGGCGACTACTGTCCACGGGATGGGTGTGTGGTGACTACTGCCCACGGGATGGGTGTGTGGTGACTACTGCCCACGGGATGGGTGTGTGGTGACTACTGTCCACGGGATGGGTGTGTGGTGACTACTGCCCACGGGATGGGTGTTTGGTGACTACTGCCCACGGGATGGGTGTGTGGTGACTACTGCCCACAGGATGGGTGTGTGGTGGGCTACTGCCCACGGGATGGGTGTGTGGTGACTACTGCCCACGGGATGGGTGTGTGGTGACTACTGCCCACAGGATGGGTGTGTGGTGACTACTGTCCACGGGATGGGTGTGTGGTGACTACTGCCCACGGGATGGGTGTGTGTTGACTACTGTCCACATGATGGGTGTGTGGCGACTACTGTCCACGGGATGGGTGTGTGGTGACTACTGCCCAAATGATGGGTGTGTGGTGACTACTGTCCACATGTTGGGTGTGTGGTGACTACTGTCCACGGGATGGATGTGTGGTGACTACTGCCCAAGTGATGGATGTGTAGTGACTACTGTCCACGGGATGGATGTGTGGCGACTACTGTCCACGGGATGGGTGTGTGGTGACTACTGTCCACGGGATGGATGTGTGGTGACTACTGCCCACGGGATGGATGTGTGGTGACTACTGTCCACGGGATGGGTGTGTGGTGACTACTGCCCTGGGGATGGGTGTGTGGTGACTACTGTCCACGGGATGGATGTGTGGCGACTACTGCCCAGGGGATGTATGTGTGGTGACTACTGCCCAGGGGATTGGTGTGTGGTGACTACTGTCCACGGGATGGATGTGTGGTGACTACTGCCCACGGGATGGATGTGTGGTGACTACTGCCCACGGGATGGATGTGTGGCGACTACTGTCCACGGGATGGGTGTGTGGTGACTACTGCCCACGGGATGGGTGTGTGGCGACTACTGCCCACGGGATGGGTGTGTGGTGACTACTGCCCACGGGATGAATGTGTGGCGACTACTGCCCACGGGATGGGTGTGTGGGACTACTGCCACGGGATGGATGTGTGGTGACTACTGCCCACGGGATGGGTGTGTGGTGACTACTGTCCACGGGATGGGTGTGTGGTGACTACTGCCCAAGGGATGGGTGTGTGGTGGGCTACTGCCACGGGATGGGTGTGTGGTGAATACTGCCCAAGGGATGGGTGTGTGGTGACTACTGCCCACGGGATGGGTGTGTGGTGACTACTGCCCAAGGGATGGGTGTGTGGTGACTACTGCCCACGGGATGGGTGTGTGGTGACTACAGCCCAAGGGATGGGTGTGTGGTGACTACTGCCCGCATGATGGGTGTGTGGCGACTACTGTCCACGGGATGGGTGTGTGGTGACTACTGCCCACGGGATGGGTGTGTGGTGACTACTGCCCACGGGATGGGTGTGTGGTGACTACTGTCCACGGGATGGGTGTGTGGTGACTACTGCCCACGGGATGGGTGTTTGGTGACTACTGCCCACGGGATGGGTGTGTGGTGACCACTGCCCACAGGATGGGTGTGTGGTGACTACTGTCCACGGGATGGGTGTGTGGTGACTACTGCCCACGGGATGGGTGTGTGTTGACTACTGTCCACATGATGGGTGTGTGGCGACTACTGTCCACGGGATGGGTGTGTGGTGACTACTGCCCACATGATGGGTGTGTGGTGACTACTGTCCACGGGATGGATGTGTGGTGACTACTGCCCAAGGGATGGATGTGTAGTGACTACTGTCCACGGGATGGATGTGTGGTGACTACTGCCCACGGGATGGATGTGTGGTGACTACTGTCCACGGGATGGGTGTGTGGTGACTACTGCCCAGGGGATGGGTGTGTGGTGACTACTGTCCACGGGATGGATGTGTGTCGACTACTGCCCAGGGGATGTATGTGTGGTGACTACTGCCCAGGGGATGGGTGTGTGGTGACTACTGTCCACGGGATGGATGTGTGGTGACTACTGCCCAGGGGATGTGTGTGTGGTGACTACTGCCCACGGGATGGGTGTGTGGTGACTTCTGCCCACGGGATGGGTGTGTGGTGACTTCTGCCCACGGGATGGGTGTGTGGTGACTTCTGCCCACGGGATGGGTGTGTGGTGACTACTGCCCACTGGATGGGTGTGTGGTGACTAATGCCCACGGGATGGGTGTGTGGTGACTACTGCCCACGGGATGGGTGTGTGGTGACTACTGCCCACGGGATGGATGTGTGGTGACTACTGTCCACGGGATGGGTGTGTGGTGACTACTGTCCACGGGATGGATGTGTGGTGACTACTGCCCACGGGATGGGTGTGTGGTGAGTACTGCCCACGGGATGGATGTGTGGTGACTACTGCCCACGGGATGGATATTTGGTGACTACTGCCCACGGGATGGATGTGTGGTGACTACTGCCCACGGGATGGATGTGTGGTGACTACTGTCCACGGGATGGGTGTGTGGTGACTACTGTCCACGTGATGGATGTGTGGTGACTACTGCCAACGGGATGGTTGTGTGGTGACTACTGCCCACGGGATGGGTGTGTGGTGACTACTGTCCACGGGATGGGTGTGTGGTGACTACTGCCCACGGGATGGTTGTATGGTGACTACTGCCCACGGGATGGTTGTGTGGTGACTACTGCCCACGGGATGGTTGTGTTGTGACTACTGCCCACGGGATGGGTGTGTGGTGACTACTGCCCACGGGATGGATGTGTGGTGACTACTGCCCACGGGATGGGTGTGTGTTGACTACTGCCCACGGGATGGGTGTGTGGTGACTACTGCCCACGGGATGGATGTGTGGTGACTACTGTCCACGGGATGGGTGTGTGGTGACTACTGCCCACGGGATGGATGTGTGGTGACTACTGTCCACGGGATGGGTGTGTGGTGACTACTGCCCACGGGATGGATGTGTGGTGACTACTGCCCACGGAATGGGTGTGTGGTGACTACTGCCCACGGGATGGGTGTGTGGTGACTACTGCCCACGGGATGGGTGTGTGGTGACTATGTCCACGGGATGGGTGTGTGGTGACTACTGCCCCCGGGGTGGTTGTATGGTGACTACTGCCCACGGGATGGTTTGTGTGGTGACTACTGCCCCCGGGATGGTTGTGTTGTGACTACTGCCCACGGGATGGGTGTGTGGTGACTACTGCACGGGATGGATTTTTGTGGTGACTACTGCCCACGGGATGGGGGTGTGTTGACTACTGCCCAAAGGGATGGGTGTGTGGTGACTACTGCCCACTGGATGGATGTGTGGTGACTACTGTCCACGGGATGGGGTGTGTGGTGACTACTGCCCACGGGATGGATGTGTGGTGAACTACTGTCCACGGGATGGGTGTGTGGTGATACTGCCCACGGGATGGATGTGTGGTGACTACTGCCCACGGAATGGGTGTGTGGTGACTACTGCCCACGGGATGGGTGTGTGGTGACTATGCCCACGTGATGGATGTGTGGTTGACTACTGCCCACAGGATGGGTGTGTGGGTGACTACTGTCCACGGGATGGGTGTGTGGTGACTACTGCCCACGGGATGGGTGTGTGGTGACTACTGCCCAGGGGATGGGTGTGTGGTGACTATGCCCAGGGGATGGGGTTGGGGTGTTTTCTGTCCAGGGATGGGTGTTGGTGACTATGCCCCAGGGGATGGGTGTGGGGTGACTAATGCCCAGGGAGTTTTTTTGGGGTGATCTGCCCACGGGATGGATGTGTGGGGGGATTTCCCCCGGTTCTCTGACGGGGCCTCAAGGGGGTCAGGGCCTGATAAACCCGGGGCTGTTCTGCTGGCCTCACGCAATCCAATGTATGAACCACAGCCCGGCTTGTCGGATACCGACTTTAGGTGCCTGTCCAGTGCCTGCTTGAAGACTGCCAGGGGTCTGTTGACCCCTGTATGCTGGGAGACTGTTGTCTACAGGATGGGTGTATGGTGACTACTGCCCATACCATGAGTATGTGGAGACTCCTGCCCAAGGATTGGTGTGTAGTGACTACTGCCCACACGATGGGTGCATGACGGCTACTGCCCACAAGATGTGTATTTAGTAACTAGTGCCCACAGGATGGGTAAGATATACATAAAAATATCTAACCAGTTCCCAGGCAGAGTACGAATTTTCCACTTGCCATCTCAAAAAAATCTTTCAACTTGCCTCTTCATTTTCAATATACTTGGCGCCAACGAGAGTATTGAGGAGAACATCTTGTGGCCTCCAGGAGAACTTATAACGTAGAGGGTTGTCAGAGAACTCTGGAGCTGGCAGCCCTCCACAGTAAGATACGAACGAGTTGATCTTCCCACCTCCGCGGTGAACCTGCAAATGAGGACAGAGAAATGTCGTTTTCAGTCAACCTTGAGTACTGGTGGGGGAAGCACAGTGTTTGTACTCTGAAGGATAGGTGGTGGTGGAGGGAAGCACAGTGTTTGTACTCTGAAGGATAGGTGGTGGTGGAGGGAAGCACAGTGTTTGTACTCTGAAGGATAGGTGGTGGTGGAGGGAAGCACAGTGTTTGTACTCTGAAGGATAGGTGGTGGTGGAGGGAAGCACAGTCTCTGTACTCTGAAGGATAGGTGGTGGTGGAGGGAAGCACAGTCTCTGTACTCTGAAGGTTAGGTGGTGGTGTTGGTGGTGGGAAGCACAGTGTTTGTACTCTGAAGGATAGGTGGTGGTGGTGGTGGAGGGAAGCACAGTCTCTGTACTCTAAAGGATAGGTGGTGAAGGTGGGAAGCACAGTGTCTGTACACTGAAGGATAGGTGGAGGTGGTGGTGGTGGGAAGCACAGTGTGTGTACTCTGAAGGATAGGTGGTGGTGGAGGGAAGCACAGTCTCTGTACTCTGAACGTTAGGTGGTGGTGTTGGTGGTGGGAAGCACAGTATCTGTACTCTGAAGGATAGGTGGTGGTGGAGGGAAGCACAGTGTCTGTACTCTGAAGGTTTAGGTGGTGGGGGAGGGAAGCACAGTGTCTGTACTCTGAAGGATAGGTGGTGGTGGTGGGAAGCACAGTGTCTGTACTCTGAAGGATAGGTGGTGGTGGTGGGAAGCACAGTGTCTGTACTCTGAAGGATAGGTGGTTGTGGAGGGAAGCACAGTGTCTGTACTCTGAAGGATAGGTGGTGGTGGTGGGAAGCACAGTGTCTGTACTATGAAGGATAGGTGGTGGTGGTGGGATGCACAGTATCTGTACTCTGAAGGATAGGTGGTGGTGGAGGGAAGCACAGTGTCTGTACTATGAAGGCTAGGTGGTGGTGGAGGGAAGCACAGTGTCTGTACTCTGAAGGATAGGTGGTGGTGGAGGGAAGCACAGTCTCTGTACTCTAAAGGATAGGTGGTGAAGGTGGGAAGCACAGTGTCTGTACACTGAAGGATAGGTGGAGGTGGTGGTGGTGGGAAGCACAGTGTGTGTACTCTGAAAATTAGGTGGTGGTGGTGGTGGTGGTGGGAAGCACAGTGTCTGTACTCAGAAGGTTAGGTGGTGGTGGTGGTGGTGGGGTTGTGGTGGTGGTGGTGGGAAGCACAGTGTCAGAACTCTGAAGGTTAGGTTGTGGTGGTGATGGTGGTGGTGGGGGTTGTGGTGGTGGAAGCACAGTGTCTGTACTCAGAAGGTTAGGTGGTGGTGGTGGTGGGGGTTGTGGTGGTGGTGGTGGGAAGCACAGTGTCTGTACTTAGAAGGTTAGGTGTGGTGGTGGTGGTGGAGGTGGGAAGTACAGTGTCCGTACTCTGAATATTAGGTGGTGGTTGTTGTGGTGGGAAGCACAGTGTCTGTACTCTGAAGGATAAGTGGGGGTGGTGGGAAGCACAGTGTCTGTACTCTCAAGGTTAGGTGGTGGTGGTTGGAAGCACAGTGTCTGTACTCTGAAGGTTAGTTGGTGGTGGTGGTGGGAAGCACAGTGTCTGTACTCTGAAGGTTAGGTGGTGGTGGTGGGAAGCACAGTGTCTCTACTCTGAATGTTAGGTGGTGGTGTTGGGAAGCACAGTGCCTGTACTCTGAAGGTTAGCTGGTGGTGGTGAGAAGCACAGTGTCTGTACTCTGAAGGATAGGTGTTGATTGTGGGAAGCAGAGTGCTTGTACTCTGAAGGTTAGGTGGTGTTGGTGAGAAGCACATTGTCTGTACTCTGAAGGTTAAGTGGTGGTGGTGGAAAGCACAGTGTCTGTACTCTGAAGGTTAGGTGGAGGTGGTGGTGGTGGGAAGCACAGTGTCTGTACTCTTTAGGTTAGGTGGTGGCGGTGGGAAACACAGTGTCTGTACTCTGAAGGATAAGTGGAGGTGGTGGTGGTGGGAAGCAGAGTGTCTGTACTCTGAAGGTTAGCTGGTGGTGGTGGGAAGCACAGTGTCTGTACTCTGAACGTTAGGTGGTGGTGGTGGGAAGCACAGTGTCTGTACTCTGAAGGTTAGGTGGTTGTGGTGGTGGTGGGAAGCACAGTGTCTGTACTCTGAAGGATAGGTGGTGGTGGTGGAAAGGACAGTGTCTGTACTCTGATGGTTAGGTGTGGTGGTGGTGGGAAGCAGTGTCTGTACTCTTATTTATTTATTTATTTATTTATTAAGAATTTGAGCACACATACAGAGGTACAAAAAAATACAGGTAAGAGCAGCATGCCAAAGCCACTTATACTATGCATGGCATTACGGGCTGGCTTAAAATTAACTTAATATTAACTAAGCAATGATGAAATCAGTGATAAAACATTATTGTAAACAGATTACTATTAAGCACAAATGAGTATTACAAAGACAGGTCATATGGTTGCATGCATTGTTGTACATTCAGTCGTATGGAGTATTCTGTTAGGTAGTGTATTTAAAAAATAATAAAGTTAGATTGGGTTTTAGGTTTAACATTTATGTGATATAATTGTGAGAAACATTTAGTAACATTTAGGATATACAATTTATAAGGTTCAGTTATTCAGTATTTATTTGGTTTTGGGTGAGTAAGTGATCTTTGAGAAGAGACTTGAATTTATAAACAGGTAGTGTTTCTTTTATATTTACAGGTAATGAATTCCAGATTTTAGGGCCTTTTATGTGCATTGAGTTTTTGCATAGTGTGAGATGGACACGAGGAACATCAAAGAGTGATCTGTGCCTTGTGTTATGGTCATGTGTTCTGTTGAGGTTGGCAAGGAGATGTTTGAGGGGAGGGTTAATATCAGAGTTAAGTGTTCTATGTATGTAATAGGTGCAGTAATAAGTATGGATGTTTTGTATGGTGAGTAGGTTTTAGTGTTTTGAATATTGGTGGAGTGTGCTGCCTGTAGTGAGAATTTGTTATCATTCTAACTGCAGCCTTTTGTTGGGTAATTAGTGGTCTGTGACGGTTAATTGTTGTTGAGCCCCATGCACAAATTCCATAGGTGAGATAGGGGTAAATAAGAGAGTGATAAAGGGCCAGGAGGGCTGACTGTGGAACATAGTACCGTATCTTCGATAGTATGCCTACAGTCTTGGAAATTTTCTTAGAAATTTGTTGTATATGTGTATGAAATTTGAGTCTATTATCAAGGTGGATTCCTAAGAATTTTCCCTCTGTTAGCTTTGTGATAGGTGATCCGTTTATCATTATGTTAAGAGGGACATCTGTAGCTCTGTTACCAAACTAAATGAAGTAGGTTTTGTCAATGTTTAGTGTAAGTTTGTTAGTCCTCATCCAGGTAGATATTTTCTGTAATTCGATGTTTACAGTATTGGCTAGCATGACTGGGCTCGGGTGAGAGAAGACGTATGTAGTGTCATCTGCAAAAAGTGTGGGTTTGAGTAATTGCGAAGCATTTGGTAGGTCATTTATGTATAGGAGAAAGAGAAGAGGGCCAAGGACACTTCCCTGTGGGACACCAACTGTAATTGGTTGTGCAGAAGAGTTTGCCCCATTTGCGTACACATATTGGCTTCTGTTGCTGAGGTAAGACTTGAGGTAGTTGAGGGAGTGCCCTCTTATACCATAGTGTGACAATTTTACGTGGAGCAAGTCATGGTCAACTGTATCAAAAGCTTTACGTAAGTCAATGAAGATCCCCAGTGGGACTTCTTTTTTCTCTATTGCAGTGTATATATGTTCTAGCATGTGTATAATAGCATCATTAGTATTTTTATTAGGCCTGAATCCAAATTGGCAGGGGTTGAGTATGTTTTGGGAGATAAGGTAGGAGTAGATTCGTTTATGAATTAATTTTTCGAAGATTTTTGAGAGAGGGTGTAAGTTGGATTTTGGGCCCTATAGTTATTCAACTCTGTTTGGCCCCTCCTCTTTGTGGTATCGGGGTGACCCTTGCTATTTTGAGTACTGTAGGGAAGGTGGAGGATTCAATGGATTTGTTAAAGAGTGTTGCAATGATTGGTGATAGCACTTGTGACACTTTTTTGTATATAAAGGGTGGTAAGGTATTTAAATCTCCTGCCTTGTTTTTTAGTGCGTTGATAATAAGGGAGACTTCGTATGGGTTAGTCGGAGCTAGGAACAGTGTGTTCGGGTAGTTGCCAGTGAGGTAGTCATTGGGTGGGGTATCTGAGCTTGGGATTTTATTGGCAAGGTTTTGTCCTATAGTGGAGAAGAAATCATTGAGTCTTTTGCTGTTTCTGTTGGTGGGAGTTGGGGTTCATCTGATTTTGCTAATTTTATTTCGCTATTTCGTGATATCTTTTTTGCTCCCAGAATTTCTGATAGGGTTTTCCAGGTCTTTTTTATATCACCTCGTAAGTTGTATAATCTGTTCTCATAATACAATTTTTTGCCCTTCTTATCAGGCTGGTTAGCATTGACGAGTAACGTTTTGTTTGGTCTCTGGTTATGTGACCCATTCTGTACTGTTTTTCATATCGGTGTTTTGTATTTATGGATTTGAGAATGCTGGGTGTTAGTCAGGGACTGTTCAGTCTCTTAGCTGTCATCTGTTTAGTTTTTTTAGGGCAGTGCTTGTTATAGAGGTATTGGGTCTTTTTTAGAAAATTATTTATACATTCGTCAATATCTGTATAGATTTCTAGCTCAGTGTGCCAGTCAATGTTTGTTATGCTGTTGTGAAGTTATTAATGTCTGCCTCATTGTGAAGTTGAAGGTGACTTTAGTAGTGTCTTGGGTATTTTACCAAGAGTTGTTATGAAGAAAGTAGGGTAGTGGTCTGTGGTATTATTTGTAATTATGCCTGATTTTAAAGGGGATATGGTGTTGGTCCAGATGTGGTCAAGTAGGGAAACACTAGTCTCTGTAACTCTTGTAGGTTTTGTTACTATTGGTAGCAACATACAGTTACTCATTGTGTTTGTGAATTCAGTAACGTGTGGGTCCTGGTCTTGCAGGAGATTTATATTGAAGTCACCTGAGAGTAGTAAGTGATCTTTGTTCATGCGTGCATCAGTATCATACTTCCTAGGTTTTGACTAAATTGGCTAATGTTTGATTGTGGAACTCTGTAGATGTTTATCAATGTGAGAGGTTTTTGTAGGTATTTGGATTTGGAATTTGGCTATTATATATTCCCCATGTTCATCCCTTGTGCAAGTATTAGTGATACATTCTAGTTGGTCTGAGTAGTATATGGCTGTGCACCCCCTTGTTGGTCTGGCCTACAGTTGTGTTGGCTGTGTAACCAGGAATGGCATAGACATCTGTAGTATCAGGCTTTAGCCAGGTTTCAGTTAGTGTAATGATGGACATATTGGCATGTAAGGAATTTAGTAATGCTATGAGGTCATCGTAATGCTTGCTTAAAGATCTGATATTGTAGTTAAAGATAGTTATGTTGTTGTTGGCTCTGAGGAGTGCCTTTGATTGTTCTGCAGTGTAGTAATTACAGTAACTGTTTGATTCATTTAAGTCATTAAATAGGAGGTTGGTATCAGGATCAATGCTTGTAATCATAAGATTTGTAGTGAATCGATAGTTAGAATTAAGTATAAAATAAAGTAAATAGTCTTAAGCTAAAAAATAGCACCTGAATTATTTAACAAATGTAAAATAATGAGCTAAGGTAGTTTTTTTTTTTTTTTTTTTAAGCTAAAATAAAGGAGACAATATAAAAGGGACTAATACAAATAAAGTGATGATCAAATAATGGAGCTTGGGAATATGATAGTAGGTAGTACTATTTATTTATTTAGAAATATAGCATACAAACAGAGGTACAAAAAATACAGGTAAGAGCAGCATGCCAAAGCCACTTATACTATGCATAGCATTACGGGCTGGCTTAAAATTAACTTAAGATTAACTAAGCAATGATGAAATCAGTGATAAAACATTATTGTAAACAGATTACTATAAAATACAAATGAGTATTACAAAGACAGGTCATATGGTTGTATGCTTTGCTGTTCATTCAGTAGAATGGAGTATTCTGTTAGGTAGTGTATTTAAAAAAAAAATAACAAAGTTAGGTTTAACATTTGTGTGATATAATTGTGAGTAACATTTAAGATATACAATTTATAAGGTTCAGTTATTCAGTATTTATTTGGTTTTGGGTGAGTAAGTGAACTTTGAGAAGAGACTTGAATTTATAAACAGGTAGTGTTTCTTTTATATTTAAAGGTAATGAATTCCAGATTTTAGGGCCTTTTATGTGCATTGAGTTTTTGCATAGTGTGAGATGGACACGAGGAACATCAAAGAGTGATCTGTGCCTTGTATTATGGTCATGTGTTCTGTTGAGGTTGGCAAGGAGATGTTTGAGGGGAGGGTTAATATCAGAGTTAAGTGTTCTATGTATGTAATAGGTGCAATAATAAGTATGGATGTTTGTATGGTGAGTAGGTTGAGTGTTTTGAATATTGGTGGAGTGTGCTGCCTGTAGTGAGAATTTGTTATCATTCTAACTGCAGCCTTTTGTTGGGTAATTAGTGGTCTGAGATGGTTAATTGTTGTTGAGCCCATGCACAAATTCCATAGGTGAGATAGGGGTAAATAAGAGAGTGATATAGGCCAGGAGGGCTGACTGTGGAGCATAGTACCGTATCTTCGATAGTATGCCTACAGTCTGGAATTTTCTTAGAAATTTTTTGTATATGTGTATGAAATTTGAGTCTATTATCAAGGTGGATTCTAAGAATTTTCCCTCTGTTAGCTTTGTGATAGGTGATCCGTTTATCGTTATGTTAAGAGGTACATCTGTAGCTCTGCTACCAAACTGAATGAAGTAGGTTTTGTCAATGTTTAGTGTAAGTTTGTTAGTCCTCATCCAGGTAGATATTTTCTGTAGTTCGGTGTTTACAGTATTGGCTAGCGTGACTGGGCTCGGGTGAGAGAAGAACGTATGTGGTGTCATCTGCAAAAAGTGTGGGTTTGAGTAATTGCGAAGCATTTGGTAGGTCATTTATGTATAGGAGAAGAGAAGGGGCCAAGGACACTTCCCTGTGGGACACCAACTGTAATTGGTTGTGCGGAAGAGTTTGCCTCTTTTGTGTACACATATTGGCTTCTGTTGCTGAGGTATGACTTGAGGTAGTTGAGGGAGTGCCCTCTAATACCATAGTGTGACAATTTTACGTGGAGCAAGTCATGGTCAACTGTATCAAAAGCTTTACGTAAGTCAATGAAGATCCCCAGTGGGACTTCTTTTTTTTCTATTGCAGTGTATATATGTTCTAGCATGTGTATAATAGCATCATTAGTATTTTTATTAGGCCTGCATACAAATTGGCAGGGGTTGAGTATGTTTTGGGAGATGAGGTAGGAGTAGATTCGTTTATGAATTAATTTTTCGAAGATTTTTGAGAGAGGGTGTAAATTGGATATTGGCCTATAGTTATTCAACTCTGTTTGGTCTCCTCCTTTATGGATCGGGGTGACCCTTGCTATTTTGAGAGCTGTAGGGAAGGTGGAGGATTCAATGGATTTGTTAAAGAGTGTTGCAATGATTGGTGATAGTACTTGTGACGCTTTTTTGTATATAAAGGGTGGTAAGGTATTTAAATCTCCTGCCTTGTTTTTTAGTGCGTTGATAATAAGGGAGACTTCGTATGGGTTAGTCGGAGCTAGGAACAGTGTGAGGGATAGGTGGTGGTGGTGGGAAGCACAGTGTCTGTACTCTGAATGTTAGGTGGTGGTGGTGGTGGGAAGCAGTGTCTGTACTCTGAAGGTTAGGTGATGGTGGTGGTGGTGGTGGTGGTGGTGGTGGTGGTGGTGGGAAATAAAATGCTGTACTCTGAGGTTAGAGTCAAGAATGTCACAGTTCAGATTGTCTTCTGAACTGTGACGTCACCACAATCCTGGCGAGACAATGACTGACTGAATGATGGTGTGGGTGTTTCTTTCTCAAGGTCACCCTACACTGTTGGAAGACTTTCACTGATGTGAAATAAACGCATCTAGATAAGTAAGGTTGGTTATGTGATTCTTACTTAGATATATACACCCTCACAGTGCATAAAGTTATATAGCTTAAATAATAGTAATAATAATAATAATAATAATAATAATAATAATAATAATTATTATTATTATTATTATTATTATGATAGTAATAATGATCATTTACCTCTTCGATGCATTCCATAGCTAGAAGATGGTCAATTCCGGGGTCGAGACCCACTTCGTTGACCACAGTGATCCCAGCATTGATGGCGGCCTCTTTGAGCTCCATCATGGCCGGCGTGCAGTACGACGCTGTCACCATGTTGGTCTGAAATTGTGCAAATATTATGTATACCTCACCATCACTCAGTCAACAACTATCACAGCTCATATGACCCTCTGATCTTTAATACCCTCAACCATCCTTCAGAGTGTAGGCACTGTACTTCCCACCTCCAGGACTCAAGTCCGGCTAACCAGTTTCCCTGAATCCCTTCATGAATGCCACCTTATACATAATTGTCACATTACACACACTCCAACAGCACCTCAGTTTATAGCAACCATTTGTCTCCACTCACTCAGCTCTAACATGCTTACATGAACCTGCTGGATGTTCAAGTATCTTCTATATATTACTGCTATGTGAACAAGGAAAGCAGATGCAAGGAGACTACTGCACAAGTACCCATTTAATGTTGTGTAAAGAATGCAGGAGTAAGACGACTAACTCTTGGGTACATATTTACTGGTATATGAGCAAAGAAAGCAAGTGCTAGGAGTCTAGCTTACAGGTACCTGTTAACTGCCATGTGAACCAAGAAAGCAGGTGTAAGGAGACTAACTCACAGGTACCTACTTGTTGCTATTTGAGACAAGAAAGCAGGAGTAGAGACACTTGCCAAACACTCCCTCTGTCAGCCAGACAGCTACAACACACCTTCTGTTGTATGCAGTGCTTAGCGATCTCATGATGGAGAGAGTTCGGCAGCAGCGACACAACAACATCCGCACTCTTCACCAGTTCTTCCAGCAGGTCTGGACGCTCCACTACATCCAGAAGCACAGACTCCACATTGTGGTGTTTGACAGACAGAGCATCCACCTGGTCCTGGAGCATCGAAGCTGTGTGTGGGAGAGATACACAGTGGAAAAAATCATACACAAATGCCCTGTTTTACGGCGCTTTTGTTTACGGAGTTTCGCTAATGCAGCAGTTTACTGTTATAGTCGTTCATCATTTATTCAAACTGGCTACAATAAATATATTCACCACTCACTATAAGCTAACCTGGAGTATACCTGGAGAGAGTTCTGGGATTCAGTGCCCCCAGTTAGTGACCAGGCCTCATGGTGGATCAGGGCCTGATCAACCAGGCTGGTATTGCTAGGTGCACACAATCCAACATACAAACCACAGCCTGGCTGGCCAGGGACTGACTTCAGGTGCCTGTTTGAAGACAGCAAGGGGTTTATTGGTAATCTCCCTTATGTATGCTGGGAGGCAGTTGAACAGTCTTGGGCCCCTAACACTTTTTGTGTTGTCTCTTATCGCGCTAGTGACACCCCTGCTTTTCATTGGGGGGATGTTGCATCGTCTGCGAATCTTTTGCTTTTGTAGGGAGTGATTTTCGTGTGCAAGTTTCGTACTAGTCCATCTAGAATTTCCCAAGTGTATATAATCATGTATCTCTCCCTCCTGCCTTCCAGGGAGGACAGGTTCAGGATCTTCAAGCATTCTCAGCAATTGAGGTGTTTTATCTCCGTTATGCGCGCTGTGAAGGTTCTCTGTACATTTTCTAGGTCAGCAATTTCACCTGCCTTGAAAGGTGCTGTTAGTGTGCAGCAATATTCCAGCCTAGATAGAACAAGTGACCTGAAGAGTGTCATCATGGGCTTGGCCTCCCTAGTTTTGAAGGTTCTCATTATCCATCCTGTCATTTTTCTAGCAGATGCGATTGATACAATGTTATGGTCCTTGAAGGTGAGATCCTCCGACATGATCACTCCCAGGTCTTTGACGTTAGTTTTTCACTCTGCTGTGTGGTAGGAATTTGTTTTATACTCCGAAGTTTTAATTTCCTCGTGTTTTCCATATCATAGTAATTGAAATTTCTCATCATTGAATGTTTTATTGTTTTCTGCAGCCCATTTAAAAATTTAGTTGATGCTCACCTGGAGTCTTTCAGTGTCTGCAATGGAAGACACTGTCATGCAGATTCGGGTGTCATCTGCAAAGGAAGACACGGTGCTGTGGCTGACATCCTTGTCTATGTCGGATATGAGGATGAGGAAGATGGGAGCGAGTACTGTGCCTTGTGGAACAGAACTTTTCACCGTAGCCCCTCAGACTGCACTGTTGACTACTACTCTTTGTGTTTTATTTGTTAGGAAATTCTAGATCCATCTACCAATTTTCCCTGTTATTACTTCTTCAAGCATTTTGTGCACTATTACACTATGATCACGCTTGTCAAAGGCTTTCGCAAAGTCATTTTGTCTTCTGGAGTATCCAGGACCTTTCAAAGATTTTTAGGTTATGGGACGTTAGCCCTATTGATCTGTAGTTCTTTGCTATTGCTTTACTGCCCCCTTTGTGGAGTGGGGTTATGCCTGTTGTTTTTAGAAATTGTGGGACGACCCCCGTGTCCATGCTCCCTCTCCTTAGGATGTTACAAGCACTTGAGAGCGGTTTCTTGCAGCTTCTGATGAACACGGAGTTCCATAAGTCCAGGCCAGGGGCAGAGTGCATGGGCATGTGATTTATCGCCTTGTCGAAGACATTTGGCGTCAGGACAATATCAGATAGGTGTGTGTCTACCAAATTCTGTCGCTCATAAAAAAATCATTTAGGTCTTCAACTATCAACCTGGTTAGTGGCTCACTAAAAACCGAGTCATACTGGGACTTGAGTAGCTCGCTCATTTCCTTGCTATCATCTGTGTAGGACCCATCTTGTTTAAGTAGGGACCCAACAATGGATATTGTTCTAGACCTTGATTTGGCATAAGAAAAGAAATACTTTGGGTTTCAATTTCATTTATAACTTTTAGTTCTTCCTGCTTTGATTGATTCCTGTAAGATTCCTTTAGCTTTAGTTTGATGTTTGCTGTTTCTCTGACCAGTATCTCCCTATGTATTGCTGATATAGTGGCCTCTTGTATCAGCTCTGTTATTCTTTGCCTTCGCCTGTATAGGGAGCGCATTTTTCTTTCTAGTTTACGTCTTGTCCTCCTTATAATAGCGTAAACATGTTATCAGGCTTTTATAGGCATTTGAAAGTGAACAAAGGCTATGTATCACTTTCTAGCAGTATCCTAGAACCTAACCTGCTATATAAGCAGAGCCCTCCTGTGTAATGCAATCCTGTTGTGAATACATTTCACTCAATAGGTTTTATCAAGTCACAAACAGACTTACCTAAGGAGAGAGTACATGAGTTAATATAGGGAGAATAGTGACGTGCAGAGTCAGGAAGGGAATGTAGGGAAGAGTTTGGATTTGAGAAGGACCCACACAAAATGGGCAAGTAGGTCTGTTATGTAGAACAACAATGAAGATATACACATGTACATACTACCAGAGTAATGTATGAAGATGAACAATGTACCAGACATGAGAAGCTTGTTTCATCATACATACTGTACAACCTCTCCTCACTTAACGACGAAGTTCCGTTCTTAAGAGGACGTCATTACTCGAATTTGTCGCTAAGTGAGGAGCATACAATAATGATAGTGAGTTTGTGTCAACCATCTTTGATGTTTTAATGTCACCTTTGCACCATTTTTAATAGTTCTGGTATATAGTGGTACCTTGGGATACGAATTTATTTCTCTCCAGAAAGCTGTTCGTGTGCCGATACCAAACGAATTTGTTCCCGTAAGGAATAATATAAATTAGATTTATCCGTTTCAGACCCTTAAAAATACACTTACATAATTATTTGAGTTTTGGGCTGTTCATATCCCGAGGTACCACTGTACTTTTAAATGTTTATACAGTAGTGTACTGTACGTTGAAATAAACAGAATAGAGGATATCAGCTCTAATATACATTATTTGGGAATGAATACTGGTCAGAGAGCCCGTCTTAAATCCGAGGCGTCGGTAAACGAGTAGATCGCTAAGTGAGGAGCGACTGTACTAGTGTGGTGGTATCAATGTTACAACTGTATGCAATCTTGCATGATTGTTATAACAGAGAGGATGTTATGGCACTTAAGTAATCAGAGAGGGTGTTACGGTGCTGCAGTAATCTGAGAGGGTGTTATGGTGCTGCAGTAATCAGAATGGGTGTTATGGTGCTGCAGTAATCTGAGAGGGAGTTATGGTGCTGCAGTAATCAGAGTGGGTGTTATGGTGCTGCAGTAATCTGAGAGGGAGTTATGGTGCTGCAGTAATCTGAGAGGGAGTTATGGTGCTGCAGTAATCAGAGTGGGTGTTATGGTGTTGCAGTAATCTGAGAGGGAGTTATGGTGCTGCAGTAATCAGAGTGGGTGTTATGGTGCTGCAGTAATCTGAAAGGGAGTTATGGTGCTGCAGTAATCAGAGTGGGTGTTATGGTGCTGCAATAAGCTCTATTATAAAGCTCCTCTTCATGGTGAAATTTTTTGTACATTCTAATGAAAAAGTTCGTTCAAAATTAAATAGTGAGTTGAAAGGTATTTTGCAGTTTTTCAACCATATTTACAAATAAATTATACGAAATAGAGGAACTCTATAACAAACTCTAAGACACACAAACTGCACCAACCTTCAACACTTGCGTCACAATAGCACACATTATTATCATGTTGGCCCATGGTCTGGTGGCAAAGCTCTCGCTTCACATGGTGAGCGGTCTGGGTTTGATTCCCAGAGAGGGTCAAAACATTGGGCGAGTTTTCTTACACCGGTTGTCCGCGTTCACCCATCAGTAAAATGGGTAGCTAGGTGTTAGTGGACTGGTGTGGTTAGTGGACTGGTGTGGTTAGTGGACTGGTGTGGTTAGTGGACTGGTGTGGGGGACAAAACTAACATAATTTGCGGGAAATGCTCTGCATATATTAGTATGTCGTTGATGTCAACTATGGTCTGTTTACATTGTACATGTACTTGTAGAAATAAAGATATTATTATTATTATTATTCTTATTATTATTATTATTATTATTATTATTATTATTATTATTATTATTATTATTAATCAGTGTACTGTCACCAATAACAAAGTACTGGATAAACTGGTCAGTCCCTGACAGACTTAAAGAGCACAGAGGAAGTGTTTACCTTGCTAGCACCATCAATTTTTTTTCTGTCACATGAGGGATGACAAGTGAGCTTAGTCACCGGTCCTCTGCTGCGACTCTCTGCCACTCTTGTTCAATAATATTTTATTCATAACATTACTAATATGAATATTTATTTGTGTCAGGAATGTTATTAGGTAGGTGGATACTTACTACAATATTACCAGTATTGGGATCCTTGGACATATATTCCACCAGAGGAGCTGAGACATACATAGGTAGGTAGATGGGTACACAGGAAGGTAGGTAGGTACATAAGTAGATAGGTATATAATTAGGTGGGTAGTTACCAACAATAATGCCAGTATTAGGATCTCTGGAGAGATATTCCACCAGGGGAGCTGAGACATAACCAGCACCCAGCACCAGCACCTTCTGTTCCCTCCTCACTTCGTCCAGTGCAGATTTACTCGTGGCTCTGAAGACAAATGATTAAACGTTAGCTTGATGCTGACTGGGACCCAGTTCCTGGACCAACTAGTGTGTGTGTGTGTGTGTGTGTGTGTGTGTGTGTGTGTCTGTGTGTGTGTGTGTGTGTGTGTGTGTGTGTGTGGTGTGTGTGTGTGTGTGTGTGTGTGGGGTGTGTGTATGAGTATGTGTGTGTGTATGTGTATGTGCGTGTGTGTGTGTACTCACCTAGTTGTACTCACCTAATTGAGGTTGCAGGGGTCGAGTCTAAGCTCCTGGCCCCGCCTCTTCACTGGTCGCCATTAGGTCACTCTCCCTGAACCATGAGCTTTATCGTACCTCTGCTTAAAGCTATGAATGGATCCTGCCTCCACTACATCTCTTCCCAAACTATTCCACTTCCTGACTACTCTGTGGCTGAAGAAATACTTCCTAACATCCCTGTGATTCATCTGTGTCTTCAGCTTCCAACTGTGTCTCCTTGTTGCTGTGTCCAGTCTGAGGAACATCCTGTCTTTGTCCACCTTGTCAATTCCTCTCAGTATTTTGTATGTCGTTATCATGTCCCCCCTATCTCTCCTGTCCTTCAGTGTCGTCAGGTTGATTTCCCTTAACCTCTCCTTGTAGGGCATACCTCTTAGTTCTGGGGCTAGTCTTGTGGCAAACCTTTGCACTTTCTCTAGTTTCTTTACATGCTTGGCTAGGTGTGGGTTCCAAACTGGTGCCGCATACTCCAATATGGGCCTAACGTACACGGTGTACAGGGTCCTGAACGACTCCTTATTAAGATGTCGGAATGCTGTTCTGAGGTTTGCAAGGCGCCCATGTGCTGCTGCAGTTATTTGGTTGATGTGCGCTTCAGTAGATGTGCCTGGTGTTATACTCACCCCAAAATCTTTTTCCTTGAGTGAGGTTTGTAGTCTCTGGCCCCCTACACTGTACTCCGTCTGCGGTCTTCTTTGCCCTTCCCCAATCTTCATGACTTTGCACTTGGTGGGATTGAACTCCAGGAGCCAATTGCTGGACCAGGTCTGCAGCCTGTCCAGATCCCTTTGTAGTTCTGTCTGGTCTTCGATCGAATGAATTCTTCTCATCAACTTCACGTCATCTGCAAACAGTGACACCTCAGAGTCTATTCCTTCTGTCATGTCGTTCACAAATACCAGAAACAGCACTGGTCCTAGGACTGACCCCTGTGGGACCCCGCTGGTCACAGATGCCCACTCTGACACCTCGCCACGTACCATTACTCGCTACTGTCTTCCTGACAAATATTCCCTGATCCATTGTAGTGCCTTCCCTGTTATCACTGCTTGGTCCTCCAGTTTTTGCACTAATCTCTTGTGTGGTACTGCGTCAAACGCTTTCTTGCAGTCCAAGAAAATGCAATCCACCCACCCCTCTCTCTCTTGTCTTACTGCTGTTACCTTCTCATAGAACTCCAGTAGGTTTGTGACACAGGATTTCCCGTCCCTGAAACCATGTTGGGTGCTGTTGATGAGATCATTTCTTTCTAGGTGTTCCACCACTCTTCTCCTGACAATCTTCTCCATGACTTTGCATACTATACATGTCAGTGACACTGGTCTGTAGTTTAGTGCTTCATGTCTGTCTCCTTTTTTAAAGATTGGGACTACATTTGCTGTCTTCCATGCCCCAGGCAATCTCCCTGTTTCGATAGATGTATTGAATATTGTTGTTAAGGGTACTCATAGCGCCTCTGTTCCCTCTCTCAGGACCCATGGAGAGATGTTATCTGGCCCCATTGCCTTTGAGGTATCTAGCTCACTCAGAAGCCTTTTCACTTCTTCCTCAGTTGTGTGTACCGTGTCCAGCACCTGGTGATGTGCCACACCTCTCCGTCCCTCTGGAGCCCCTTCTGTCTCCTCTGTGAACACTTCTTTGGATCTCTTGTTGAGTTCCTCACATACTTCACGGTCATTTCTTGTTGTCTTTCCTCCTTCCTTCCTTAGCCTGATTACCTGGTCCTTGACGGTTGTTTTCTTCCTGATGTGGCTGTATAACAGCTTTGGGTCAGATTTGGCTTTCGCTGCTATGTCGTTTTCATATTGTCGTTGGGCCTCCCTTCTTATCTGTGCACATTCGTTTCTGGCTCTACGACTGCTCTCCTTATTCTCCTGGGTCCTTTGCCTTCTATATTTCTTCCATTCCCTAGCACACTTGGTTTTTGCCTCCCTGCACGTTTGGGTGAACCATGGGCTCATCCTGGCTTTTTCATTATTCCTGTTTCCCTTGGGTACAAACCTCTCTTCAGCCTCCTTGCACATTGTTGCTACATATTCGACCATGTCATTAACTGGCTTCCCTGCCAGTTCTCTGTCCCACTGAACCTTGTTCAGGAAGTTCCTCATTCCCGTGTAGTCCCCTTTCCTGTAGTTTGGTTTCATTTGTCCTGGCCTTCCTGCTTCCCCCTCCACTTGTAGCTCCACTGTGTATGCGAAGCTCAAAACCACATGATCGCTGGCCCCAAGGGGTCTTTCATATGTGATGTCCTCAATATCTGCACTACTCAAGGTGAATACTAAGTCAAGTCTTGCTGGCTCATCCTCTCCTCTCTCTCTTGTAGTGTCCCTTACGTTTTGGTACATGAAGTTTTCCAGTACCACCTCCATCATCTTAGCCCTCAATGTATCTTGGCCACCATGTGGCTCCAAGTTCTCCCAGTCGATCTCCTTGTGGTTAAAGTCGCCCATGATCAGGAGCTTTGCCTTGCATGCATGAGCTCTTCTGGCCACTGCAGCCAGTGTGTCAACCATCGCTCTATTGCTCTCGTCATACTCATGCCCTGGTCTCCTGCTGTTCTGTGGTGGGTTATACATCACTGCAATTACCACCATGGGACCTCCAGATTGAAGCGTTCCCACTATGTAATCACTTTCTTCTCCGCTGTCTCCTCTCTCCAGCTCATCAAAATTCCATCAGTGTTTGATCAGCAGTGCCACTCCTCCACCCCCACCCCCCCTGTTCCTTTTGTCTTTCCTCAGGATCTGGTATCCCGTTGGAAAGATGGCATCTGTTATCATACCTGTAAGCTTGGTTTCTGTGAGCGCTATGATGTCCGGTGATGTCTCTTTGACTCTTTCATGCCACTCCTCCCACTTGTTTGTTATTCCATCAGCGTTTGTGTACCATACCTTCAGTTTCCTTTCCAATACTGTGGTTTGGGGGGCCTGTGGGGGTGGGAGACCTGGTAGCATACTGTGGGATTCTATGATTGGGGGTTGGGTGGAAGCTGTGGGTATGGATTGTAGTTTGTGTTGGGATGGTGTGATAGGTTGTGGGGTTCTGAGGATAGTTGTGTGTGTGCTTGCCCTTGCTTCTCCGTTCTGCTCTGACTGACCTCTGCTGGTTCCATCCTTGTCTCCTTTCCTATCTCCTTTCGCTTTTTTGTCCTCTCCCTCAGCTGCTGTCTCCCTGTTTGTGTTCTGTCTCTGTCTAGGAACACCTTCTTGTACTCTTCTGAGTTTTTCAACCTTGGTTTCTCTTGGAGGATCCTGTTCCTCACTGTTTCTGTCCTGAGAATCAGCTTGATCGGTCGGTTTCTTCCCTTCACGTACCCCCCTGTTCTCTGAAAATTTACAATCTCATCCATGTCTTCTCCCCCTATTTCCGAGATGATTTTCCCAATCTCCTTTCTTTCTTCCTGCCGTCTTTCAGTGTGTGTCTTTTCCTCTCTCACCCGAAGCCCATGGATAAACACTGATTTTGCCCTTTCCTCCTCCCATTGCCTCTCCCTCTGTGACTCTGGTTCCTGTCTGTATATGGTCATTTTCTCCCTTGATTTTTCCAGTGGCTCTTGGTAGCATGGTTGTGTCTCAGCATTCGACTTATCTCCCTCTCTATCTACACCCAGCTGCTCTTTCCTTTTACTCCCTGACCCTTCTTTGCAGGCTGATATGACCTTAGCATAATTCATATCTCCTTCCTTCCTGTTCATCCTCTCAGCTTCATATGCTGTGTCTTCTCTGGTCACTGCCCCTGAGACTTGCTTCAGCCTGTTTACCTCAAACTCTAGGACCCTTACCCTGTTTACTGCAGTTTCGACTTGTGCCTCCCATTTCTTCGTCTCCTTCTCCAACCTCTTTTCCCATTTCACAGAGAACTCTTTATCCATTTTTCAGAAAGCTCTCCTAATTTTCTCTCCCATTGTTGCTCCATCCTTCTCCACTGCTCCTTCATCCATTCCTCCCTACCAATACCATTGTCATCTGATCCCTGATTCCTACAAGTCCCAACAATTTTTTTTTTTTTTTTAGTAAAGGAAAGAGAGAAAGAGAGAGAGAGAGAGAGAAGGAGAGAGAGAGAGAGAGGAGAGAGAGAGAGAGAGAGAGAGAGAGAGAGAGAGAGAGAGAGAGAGAGAGAGAGAGAGAGAGAGGAAGAGAGAGAAGAAGAGAGACCAGAGCCTTCAACGTAGGAGGGATGTGGGTGGCCTTACTGTTATGTACAAGGCCAATATTGTCAATATACCACACTTGGATCCACTTCGAGGACAGCGTGAAACAAGCTTTTATGCCACAAGACGGGCAGAAAGCAGCAACTTCACTCTGGCTGTACCCTTCTCCAGAACATCACTCCATCTGAGATCATACATACCCAGGATGACTCGAGTATGGAACACATTCGTACAGGATAATGATGTCAACGAGATAAAGTCAAATGAAAATGCTGGCCCACAGATGGCTCCAACTTCATCCTGTTTCCTACTTGTATGTCTCATAACAATAAAAATGCTTTCAAATGAGCTGATGTAGGTAACAGCTCTTAGCTTGCCAATAAAGTTAGGAATCCTTAACTTGTAAATAGCTGTCTATAAAGCTAGGGATCCTTAACCTTGTCAAACCCTGTGTAAAAAAAAAAAAAAAAAAAAAAAAGAGAGAGAGGAAGAGAGAAAAAGAGGGAGAGAGAGAAAGGGAGAGAGAGGAAAGAGAGAGAGAGAGAGAGAGAGAGAGAGAGAGAGAGAGAGAGAGAGAAGAGAGAGAGAGAGAGAGAGAGAGGAGAGAGAGAGAGAGAGAGAGAGAGAGAGAGAGAGAGAAGAATAGATAGAGAGAAGAATAGAGAGAGAGAAAGAGAGGAAGAGAGGAAAACAGACAAAGAGACCGAGAGAGTGTTGCAACCCCTGAATGGGTTACAATGATTATTATGTATATATATATAATGTATATTATCTTTTCATATAATTTTATATTGCTTATATTTGCGATAATAGCTAAATCGTAAATATATTGCTTTATGTTGTTATTTGACTTATGTTGTTAGGATGTACATAATATGTGCTCAGTTAGTCTTGATTGTCAAACTACTGTAATTATCGCTTGTCGCTCGTTATACTGCCGGCTTCTGAGCTGTGCTGTCCACGGCGCTATCACGTGATCGAGGGGGGTGTCCTCACCTCTCGTGAAGTATTCAGTCTGCTCTAGACTCGCTTGGTGGTTGGACAGATTGTCTGTCTCATTATTCTTGTTAGTTCTGTAGAACTCTGTTCACAGAACATTGTATAGACTTAGTGATTTTCGACGTTGTACTGAGGTTGTGTGTCGCTTAGACACTCTGAACATCTCAGGTCCTTAGCTATAGCTTCTGACCTAATTTTGTACTGGTTTCTGTGTATTGTCACAGTCAGGGTTTTTCCTATGCTGAACTTAGATTCAGTAGTATGGGAGTTTTGTAACTTTTGTGGAGGATCTGCTGATGGTCCCTACTTAGTGTCGTTATATTATCTCCTTGATCCTGATTGTGTCGCAGTCACTTGTTATATGGTTATTGGGCTTAGCATTCTTTTCATTGTTCAAGCAGACTGTTCTGGTTGCCAGTCAGTCAAGAAGTTATTTTATTTGAGGACTTTGTCAGTCACTTGTTTAAGTCTAGTCGAGTCGTGAGACATAGTGAACTACTTAGAGCACTTACACGCACACACAAACTTACTTGTACATATTTGTAATATCTTATTAAATGTTAATGTACCAGATGGTACTTAAGAATTATAAATGTGATATGTGCTTTCAGCACAATAATATTGAACTCGAGAGATTGATTTTATTTTGATTGCTGTGATTAATTTAATTTGATAATATACCTCTAGACAACTTAATGATTAATAAATTTATTAAATTTTAATTTCTCTAGTTAGTAGCCTACCAGTTGTAATCCTGAAGCACTATTGAGTCTTAATGAATTCTAATGGATAATTGGATAAGGATACTGACTACTTGTTACGAAAACCCAGTAACAGGCTGGATGCTAGAAGGGCAGTCTTTTCTAGTATTCACTGGAGATCTCTAAGCTTTTAGAATCGCATTTTTTGTAACAGAGAGAAGGAAGGGTTAGAGGGCCAATTCACATAAAGGTGTGAAATGCTGTATATGTGTGTGTATGTGTTTGTGTATATGTGTATGTGTCTGTCTGTGTTTGTGGTGTGTGTGTGGTGTTTGTACTCTCCTAGTTGAGGTTGGTGGGGTCGGTCCGAGTGTGTTGTGTGTGTGCTACAGCTATTAATTGCTACAGCAGATTCCTGTTCTCACTAGTGTGACATGTTATGTGTGTGTATGCGTGCGTTTATGTAAGCAGTCCTTATTTGCCTCGTATGTACTACATATGTTTTGCATATGTTCCCAATCTATTGGTTCCATGTATATCTTGTGTGTCTAAAATTTACGGTAAATTAACATAAAGGTGTGAAAATCCTGGTTTATGTGTGTGTGAGTGTGTGAGTGTGTGTGTGTGTGTGTAAGTATTGTTTGTGTGTGTATGTGTGTGTGTGTGTGTGTATGCGTGGTGTGTATGTGTATTTGTGTGTGTGTGTGTGTGTGTGTGTGGTGTGGTGTGTGTGACTCACCTAATTGTACTAGCTATTGTGGTTGCAGGGGTTCGAGAATCAGCTCCTGGCCTCCTCCTGCCTCTTCGCTGATCGCTTCTAGGTCCTATCTCTCCTCTGCTTTCCTGAGCTGTATCATACCTCTTCTTAAAAACTATGTATGGTTCCTGCCCCTCCACTCTTCACTTACTAGGATATTCACTTGCTGACAACTCTATGACTGAAGAAAATACTTCCTAAACGTACCTGTGACTTGTCTGTGTCTTCAGCTTGCCAGTTGTGACCCCTTGTCCCCTGTGTCCCCTCTCAGGAACATCCTATCTCTGTCACCTTGTATATTTACCGCAGTATATTGTATGTCGTTATTATGTTGGTCCCCTGACCCTTTTGTTCCTCAGTGTCGTCAGGGACCGATTATCCCTAAACCTCTCCTCGTAACAACATTCCCCTGAGCTTGGGACTAGTCTTGTTGCAAACCTTTGGAATTTCTCTAACTTATTGACGTGCTTGACCTGGTGTGCGGTTCACAGACTGGTGTGCATACTCCAAAGATTGGGCCTAACATACACGTGTACAGTGTCTGAACGATGCCTTATTAAGGAATTGGAACGTATTCTAGGTTTGCCAGGCGGCCCGTATGCTGCAGCTGTTATTTGCGTTGATGTGTGCCTCTTTTTTCCGGGTGGACGTGCTCGGTGTATGGTCGCCCCGAGGTTCTTTCTCCTGAAGTGAGGTCTGTAGTCTTTGTCCACCTAGCCTATACTCTAGTCTGCTGTCTTCTTTGGCCCTCCCCAATCTCATGACTTGCATTTGGCAGGATTGAATTCGAGAAGCCAGTTCTGGACCACATGTCCTGCCTGTCCAGGTTCCTTGCAGTCGTGCCTCATTAATTCTGATTTAATTCTTTCAATAACTTACTTCTGCTGAGGTAGGGACACCTCAGATCTATTCCAATCATGTCGTTCGAATATATCAAAAATAGCTCTGCGCCCTTGAACTGATATCTCCCTGTGGGACCCCGCTCGTCAAAGGGGCCCAGCTGTATACTTCTTCACGTTACCATGGATCGTTGCTGCTCCCTGTCAGGTATTCCTGATACATTGCAGTGCCTCCCTGGTTTCATGCGCTTGATCTCCTGCTTCTACACTTAATCTCTTGTGGGGAACTGTGTCAAAGGCCTTCCTGCGTCTAGGAAAACGCAATCTACCACCCTCTCTCTTCGTGTCTTACTTCTGTTACCTTGTCATAAAACTACCTGGAGGTTGTGACACACGATTTTGCCTTCCATGAACCCATGCGTTTTCATTTATAATCTTGTTACTTTCGAGGTGTTCGACCACTCTCCCTCTGATAATCGTCTCCATGACTTTGCCACAAAATACATGTCAGAGTACAACAGGTCTGTCGGTTTGGTGCCTTGTTTCTGTTTCCTTTCTTAAAATATGGGGACTACATTAGCTGTCTTCCATTTCTCAGGTAGTTGCCCAGTTTCTAGGGATGTGTTGTAGATTGTGGTTAGAGGCACGCACAGCATCTCTGCTCCTTTCTCTAAGGAACCATGGGGAGTGTTGTCCGGTCCCATCGACTTTGAGGTGTTCTAAGGTCACGTAGGAGCTTCTTCACCTCCTCCTCGTTGGTTCATATGTCATCCAACATTGTTGTGTTTATTCCCTCTTGATGTTCCCTTCTGTGCTGGTCTTCCACAGCCCTTCTTGTCTCTACTGTATAACTTCCTTAAAAATCTCTGTTCAGCTCCTCACATAACCTCATAATCATTTCTTGTGAGTTCTACACTTCTGTCCTTAATCTGATCACCTGGTTTTGACTGTGGTCTTTCCTCATTATGTGGCTATACAACAGTTTGGGTCGGTCTTGATTCTCGATGCTATGTCATTTCATATTGTCGTTGGGCATCCCCTCCTTACCTGTGCGTACTCTTTCCTGCTCTGCGACTGATCTCCCACTATTTTCGTGTTGTCTCTGCATTCTGTACTTTTTCCATTCTTATTGCACTTTGTTTGTATTTGCCTCCTTACCACCGTCGGGTAAACCAGGGGATCGTTCTGGTTTTCCGTTGTTACTGTTGCACTTGGGAATAAACCTTTTCCACTGCCTCTTGCATTTGTGTTACCATATTCCATCATTTAGTTTACTGGTTTTCCTGCCAGTTCTCTGTCCCACTGGGACCTCCACAGGAAGTTCTTCAACCCTATGTAGGTCCCCGCTTTTATAGTCGGTTTTCCCATTCAACTCCTGTGATTTTCTCTCCACTTGCTGCTCTTCTATGTATTCAAAGCTCAGATCCACAGGTCGTAGCTCCTAGGGGACGCTCATATTGATGTCCTCAATGTCTGAGCTGCCCCGGGTGAAACAAGTCCAATCTTGCTGGTTATCCTCACCTCTCACTCTGGTAGTTGTCACCATTAACATGTTGGTGATTGAGGTTTCCAGCACAACGTCCAACATATCCTGTCTCCATGTGTCGGGACCCCATGTGGCTCCAGGTTTTTCAGTCAATCTCCCTGTGGTTGAAATCCCAATAACAGCAACTCTTGCTCTGCAGGAAGTGAGCTCTTCTTGCCACTCACCTCTCTTGGCCTCTGCAGTTCTGTGGTGGATTATACATCCTGCAATGACCACTTTGTGTTCCCCAGATGATTGTGTACCTAATATGTTGTCTCTTCTCCCGTCTCATCTTTGCCTTCATTTTCTTAGAATTTCAATCTTGCTTTTACGATCAGAGCACCCACTCCCCTCTGCCCCTTCAATCTTCCTCATGATCTGGTATCCTGGTGGGAAGATTGCATCTGTTATTGTCTCCGTGTGTTTTGTTTCTGTAACTGCTATGATGTTTGGGGACTTCTCATTGATTCTTTCTTGCTCATTCCTCATGTTATTCGTTAATCCATCTGCATTTGTGTACCAAACCTTCAATTCTGTTCTAATAATGTGACTGTGGTGCGGGGGGGGTTGGTACAGAGGGGATCGGTTGATTGTGATGGTTGGTTTGGATGCTTCAGTTGCCCTTCCTAGGGGGGTGTCGTTGATGGAATTCCTTCTGACAGGTATTTTGGGGGTTGTGCTGTTACTTCATTTATCCTGGGTTATTCTGCTTCCTTTTTCATTTCAGTCCCAATTTCTCCTTTCGTTTTTGAACTCTCTCTTTCATCGTCTCCTTTTCGTCTGTGGTCTGTCTCGATCGAGGTACACACTCCGGAACTCCTGACTTGCTCGCAGGGCTTTCTCCTGCAGGATCATGGTTCAGGTTGATTCTGCCTTGAAAAATTACTTTGAGCGGCGATTTATCGTTTTTCCCTTTTGTGAACCACCCGATTCTCGAAATTGCCACCTGGGTCATATCCCCTAGCCTTTCACCCTTCATGTTGTCTCAAACGCTTCTTGCTCCTCCTGCTTTTTCTTTCATTATAAGTTTCCCTTTAGCTTCGTTTAGCCCATAGACAAAACACGGATCTCTCCCTTTCCACCTCCCTTTGTGACTGCCATTGCATACTTGATGTGTTTTCGTTTCCTTCCCATGGAGTGTTCCTTTCTTCGTCCCTTCAAGTTAGGCCCCTATGCTTCTTGGTTTGTCCTTCATGCTCAAACTTTTTCTGGCCCGCACAGGTAATCTTGGTATGGTCCTTGCACATGTCCTATTCCCTTCAATGTCTTCCAACCTCTCATTCTGTCCTAGTGTGCTCATGTCTTTGTTTGGCCCATGTGGGTTTGGACAGGACTTCGGCCATTCAGTTTAGTTTCCATGCTTCCTTCAGACCTGTTGTTGTGTCTGATTGTAGCCATTGCCAAAGCTACTCTGCATTATTTTTGTTTCTTTGCTGTTTCAGATATCTCAGCTCTCTTCTAATAATCTCATATCTTGATTTCTGCTGTCTGTGGCCTGTTGCTTCCACCTTCTGCCTATTCTGATGCTAAACAATCTATTCCATCTTCCTTTCCAGCTCATCAGATCCTTCCCCGGTCTTTCCGTCCTTTTTTTGAGCTCTGCTCTAATTATCCCGCTAAGATCTTTTTTTTATTAGTGTTTGGTGCACTTGTCCTCCTCCCTGGTTCTAGGGTTTTCCCGTTGCTCCACAGAAGGTGGGAGAGCGAGGGTGGTTAGGGGCGGGAGGGTAATAGATGGGTAGGAGTGATGGGGTTGGATGGTTATGGGGGAGGGGGGAGGATGGTTTTAGAGGGGTAGAGTAGTTGGGGGAGGGGGTTAGATGGTTTTGGGGGTGGGTTTGGTGGATAGGGTTAGGTTGGTTAGGGGAGGGGGGAGTAGTGTGTTTGAGGAAAGAGAGGGGATGGATGGTTATGTGGGTGGGGGAGGATGTTATTGGAGGGAGGGAGTTGTTGTGGAGGGTTAGATTAGATGGTTTGGGGGAGGGTTATGTGGTTAGGGGGAGGGGTAGGTGGCTAATGTGTGGAGTGGTTAGGGAAGGGGAGAGGTGGGTTAGGGAGGGGGGTTATGTGTTTGTTTCAAGTGTTTGTGATCAAGTGGTGTTGTGTGTGTGTGTGTGTGTGTGTGTGTTGTGTGTGTGTGTGTGTGTGTGTGTGTGTGTGTGTGTGTGTGTGTATGTGTACTACTAATTGTACTCACCTAATTGTGGGGTGCTGGGGTCGAGACTCAGCCCTTGCCCCGCCTCTTCACTGATCGCTACTGGGTCCTCTTCAATTGCTTCCTGAGCTTTGTCATACCTCTTCTTAAAATAACTATTGTATGGTTCCTGCTCCACTACTTCATTGCTAGGATATTCACACTTGTGACACACTCTATGACTGAAGAAATACTTGCTAACGTCCTGTGACTCGTCTGAGTCTACAGCTTCCAGTTGTGACCCTTGTCCATGTGTCCCCTCTCTGGAACATCCTATCTCTGTCCACCTATGTCTATTCCCAGCGTTATTTCTATGTCGTTATTTCATGTCTCCCTGAACCTTCTGTCCTCAGTGTCGTCAGTCCGATTTCCCTTAACCTTTCCTCGTA